GGGCAAGAGTGGTCACCTGTCTATTTAAAGGCGACATTTTATAGCCGTTTACGGACTTCTGCACTGCTTTTGTCGTTGAGCTCTTGTTTTTCCCCTTTTTTTTTTTTTAACTTCTTATCAAAAACAGACAATCAAGGTAAAAATTAAAAAATTTATTAAAAATTATATTTTCGTTAATTTTTATAAAGAATCAAATAGTAATACAAACTCTTTTGTTAATTAAACTACAACACCTTAAATTTTTTAACCATTTATGACATAGCCGTGTAGAGAAACTATATGGCTTGGACCTCTGAAGGAGTTCTGTAAATTGTAAACTTTGAACTACAATTAATTATGACTTTATGTAGAGGCAGACTCATTTGTAGGCAAAATTTAAGTATCCATTCGCTGATATGATCAGTTGATTAGTTTGCTATATAAGAACCTTCAACAGAATTTCCAAGAACCACCTTACTGGGACAGTATATCTTAGACTCGAATCTAATGTTGTGTTGAGGTAAAACAGCAACATATGTACAGTGCTGTCTTCTTACTTCATTTTGTCTGTTTTATACTCCTGAAAAAATATATGGCTACGCTGGCATCCTCCCTTGGTGCAAGCATATCATCAAAAAGACATTATATTAACTATGGTACTTCAATATTGTCTCCGTTTTCTATATCAAATTGAAGATTCCTCCCAACATTTTTGCTCCCTAATTAGCAGTGTTCGTACAATCAGAGAATACTTCATGGTACTTTCCCACAATGATATAAGGGCCTATTTGTAATTACAATTAAAATTCAATTGATAGAAAAGTGATAGATAATAGATAGTAGAAAACAAAAAAGAGACAGTAAAACGCAAAAAACAAATAACAGAAAACAAAAAAGGGATGGTAAAAAATGGATAACAAATAATAGATAACGAATTTAATTAATATAATTATTTGGTTATATAATAATTAGTAGTTATTGATTAACGTTAAATGACTAATAAAAATATATTTAAAAATAATTAAGTATAGTTTTTAATATTTTTTATTATTAAAATTATTGATTTTATAGAAATAATAATAAGAAAATAAATAAATAAAAATAAATTTTAGTAGTATAATCACATATTAATTTTTATTTTTAACAATGAAAAAATTATATTATTTTTAAATAAAATAAAAAAAAGTAATTTTTTTTGTCTAATTAGCAAATTTTCTTTATTAAGTTAATATATTTTTATGATAAATTAATGTAAAAATAAAAATATAATAATCACTTAATGTTATTAAAGATAAAAAAAAGTTGAAATTAATTAAATAAGTATTAATTAAAAATTATGGTAAAAAAATTAAAAATTAAAATGGATAAATTTGTTAATAAAATTAAAAAATTTCAATTCATTAATGGTTTAGTACAAAAAGTTATTTTAAATAAATTTTTAATTCGTTATAAATAACTTTTTAATTCGCTAGCGATTTAAATACTAATTATTATCTACTAATTTTAAATCATTAAATAAAAAATTTTACCGAATATTTAGTTTATACTTTATATAGTGATTTCAAAATAAATAAATTTATTAAATATTTATTCTTAACAATTTGAGTAAAGCCACTAATTATTTCTCCTAAATCACTATAGCAAACCAAACTTTAAACTCCCTATAAAACCCACATTAAGGACCATCACTCTCCATCCTTTAGAATTCTCAATCCCCAATCTCTCGATGAAATCAATACACATTCCGTGATTGTTCATTCTTGCAAAACTTTGAATTTCTAACCTTAATTATAAAATCAAGGTTTTGAAGTTTGTGAATACTAATTCAAGTTGGACTCGGTTCTTGCTTCTTGCTTTTGTGACTTGGGAAAATGCCGTACACAATTAATTTCAATGCATTGAGAGATTTACACAACTCCGCAAATGATCTCCTTCACTCTCCAATGATTCAGAAAGCCCTGCTTCACCAGGGACATGAGAAATGGGTGCATCAAGTCTCCGAATCATCCCTCCAGATGCTCGACGTTCTTGGAATTTCCAGAGACGTTCTTCTCCTCGTCAAAGACAACGTCCAGGACCTCCGGTTCGCATTGCGAAGGGTAAGCACCGACGACGTCGAGTCCAATATCAGAACAGAAATAGCCGTTTACACCCAGTACAGGAAGAAGCTGAAGAAAGAGACCCTCAAGTGCTTACAGTTATTAAAAGGGATGAAGAACAAGCCCATTGCTCCATCGGAAATTTCTCCAGTGGATGAATACCTGACAGTGGTGGTGGCCATGCTGACGGAAGTCAGGGCCACGACGACCTGCATTGTGTAGCCGTTATCTCTGTTTTCCATCCCCTGGTTGGAGAAAGATCCGGGAAAGGGTCATTCGGGTTGAAGATAATCCGGTCGGGTTGCAAAGACTTTTATGGCATAAGTGATGAATTGGCAGTTCAAAGTCTGGAGGCTGTGGAAGTCACCATTGAAGATCTTGAAGTTGAGCTTGATTGAATGTTTCAGAAGGTTGATTCAGACTAGGGCTTTGCTTCTTAACATACTTAGCAATTACGGAAGATTATCCATTTTTAAAATGGGAATCCTTTGATTTAGAGCTTGTTCATACTTTTACTAATACAGCTTGGTAGATAGCTGGATTTAGTCATGCCAGTACCTCGTATCAATGTAACATTCTTTGATTCTTTTCAATAAGGATGATCAACCATCATATTTGTTCGTAAAAATCACTTTTCTCTTTTTAATTGGTGGATCATGTATGAGAGATTATAACTTCCATTAAAAAAGAAACAACAGCAACAACAACAACACTTTTGATCCCTTTTAAGCCCACAGCTCAGTTCCAGCATGTTCTACATTCTAGAGAGATGAATTCATTGATGCTTTATTTACCTTCAACTCCAGTGTTAAAAACAAAAGATGAAGGTAGATATGCACAGAAACACATTCATAGATTGAAAGAGTGCATGCTTACAAACTTTCTTAAAAGGAAAGAAAACAAGAGAAAGTCCACAGTTAACACTGACATGTACTTCATGAATTTATGCTCATTACAATCACTTTATTGAAACAGAAGAAGATTGATGAAAGAAATTCTAAATGACAGTTGCCCATTTGGACCATGATAATGTTTCCTCGGAGGCATCAACAGAGATCCTACAGTGTATTAAACATAAAACATCTTTCATTCATTTTCAAACTAAAATAGAAATAAAACCAGTAGAAAAGCATTTTGAGGCCTGGTACTCCATATGAACTTTTAAGTTGATTGAGAAGATCTATGCAGAATACAAAAGATTTCTACTTTTACATCAGTTTCAAGTACAAACATAATTTTACTGGTATAACCAAATGCATTGGATTTGGACTTAAAAAAATTCTCTTTAAAAATACTTTACAATTTGCAGTCTTAATTTTTAACTTTTTTCCAATAGCTATTTTTCCAATTTTCGGATGATTTATTCTTCCCGCAATTTTACGGAAACTTATGGCTCTAAATTTCACAATAAACACAAAATGCACTCATAATTCTGCATATAATGAACCATCCCAGTTTCCTTCCAAACTCCAACCAGACAATTTTATGCTTTGTTGAATCAAGAAACCAAGAGGATCCTTACTTTTATTTTTTTCTCATGTAAAGCATTCATACGAAATGGGTAAAAGATTCATCACACACAATCATCCAGCGGCAATAGAAATACAGAAATAAAATGTTAAAAAGAAAGGGTACCTAATGTTCACTTCCATGACCATGGTCATCATGTCCCTCCCAAGGATGTCTCCAGCCCTAAACATTATAGCATTAAAGTGAGACAAGCCAAGAAAGCATGTCAAAAAATTAAGCGCGCAATCATGAACAAAATCTGAAAAGAATCCACTCTTACCAAAACTACAGGACCATCTTGCTTAGCCCTGTATAGTATCCAGAACCTGAAATACCAGATTACCAGAAACTTCATGAGGCTTACAACAATTCAAACGCGTATACATAAAATTTTTCATAAAGGGACAAACGAAATTTGATGCCCAAATGGCTCAATATTTTATAAAATTGGATCCTAGAAAGCATGTGAACCAACCAATTTCTTACCATTGTTTTTAAATTTACATAACTATCTTCTTTATAAAGCGTTAATTTTGTGCAACTTCCCCACCTCCACCTGAACCCCTCTATGTACCATCACTAATAAATTGAGCATAGACACATCTGATATACCACAACAGAACATTCCGGTTGAAAGAAAGCCCCTAACAAGAACTGTAATATTCAACGAAATTCCTCCAAATTCAAAAACTTCAGCAGCTATGTTCCCAATCAAACCCCTTATTCTCTAGCAGCTAAAAATTTCCACAATTCATATTCA